CAATTTCAGGCTACAGGCTTCTATCCAAAAGGTTATGGATTTGCACAAGCTCCTTTTTGATTAGGGTTAAACTGGATTGTTTATCGGAACATGGATTCATTACTTAAGATTTCACAGCTACCATTGAGGAACTCTTTCAGAAAAAGAGTTACGCTATCACAGTTAAAGAAGACAGGAAACAGAATCTTCTTTAGAAAGTGTATGAAGTGCTGATTGCAGCTGAAAAAGATATTGAATCATCGCTGGATAGTTCTGAAAATGATTTCCCAACTACTTCCTCAGATGGTGAATGAAAAATTAGCAAATGAAAATGCATGAAGAGCTCACCCAACAAAACAAACTCTAATGAAGTAAAAGAAATACCTTTGAATCAGGAAACTGATAGTTTTGGCATTGAAGCAGAACAAAAACCTAGAAGTGACTGCACCGTCAGTAAATGAAAAAAGGGATCATCCTGTCTTCCTGCTGGTTCACAACCTAAGCCATCTGAAAGATTTTGTTCACATGAACAAGAATAATGGACACACAAATTCCCAGTGCAGACTTAACACCAAATGCTAATGACAGTCAAGGAGATAGTTCTAAAAAAGGCAGAAGCTTACCTGCAGTTTATATAAATGATAAAAAATTCAACTGAGCACAACTAAAAATCTTATTTTCTGATCACAATATGTCAGATACTACTGACTTTACAGGATATACTCAGAAGAACGGGTTCAAATTTAAAGTTTCAAATGCAAATATACATAAAAAAATAACTGGCCTGCTTAATGAAAATGATGTGAAATATCACTCCTTTATTCTTCCTAGGGACAAAAATCTTGAGGTCATTATCAAGCACCTTACTTTGGATACAGATCCAGAAGAAATTAAGATGAAACTCATTGATGGAAATTATGAAGTTACGTTACACAAATGTTACATCGCTTTAAAAGAGAAAACTAAGAAATGCACTCTTTTTTCTTGTCACATTACCAAAAATGAAAAATCTAGAAGTATTTATGAAGAGAAAAAGTTATCTAGACTTCTCATGGAAGTTTCCTACAAAGGCGCACTGGTCGTGTACAGTGTTTCAGATATCAAAGGTTTTATCATTCTCAAGTTGCTTGCAACAACAAATTTTTCTGTGTCAAATGCAGATTGAATCACGATTCTAGAGAGTGCTAAAAGCACAAAAATGAACCAGCCAAATGGGCAAACTGACAACCTTTAAATTATGCTGTGTGGTCCATTTAAAGGTTGAGAAAAGTAGCCAAAACAAAATAAAAATGATCAAATCAAAGCCTATGGTGCTAGGTTTATCATCAATAAATCCTTTGGGAATGCTCTTAAAACAATCAACAGTACAAGTGCTAATATTATTGCAGAAGCTAAAAAGATCTTTGGTGATTTTAAATGCTTGGTGAAGTACCTTGAAAGCTCCAGCATACAACTCCTAGCTCAAGATATAAGATCCAAAGGTAGTCCAAAAGTATTAAATGCAAATATTTCAAATGAGCAAATTCAATATGTGCAGACCAATCAAACTGTGCTTTTAGAATTGCATGCATTTAGAATAAAATTGATGAATACTTGAACAAACAAAATGAGAATTCATCAATTTAGAACAAAATTAATGAATAATGACCAAAACATATATATATATATATATATTTTAATTCAACAAACCTGTTCCTGTAATAAAGAAAGCTAAATATCTTGGTATCATCATTAACCAGAATCTTTCTTGGACTGCACACAGTAATAGTGCATGTAGTAAAGCTTTTGGAATTATGAACAAATTCCTACCTACCTGTAAGTGGAAATTATTCCAACCTCAGCCTTCGTGTTAAGCATCATATCTACACTGCATGTGTATTTATCCTGTTTTGTGTTATGCTGCCCCAGCCTGAAATATAGCTACAAAAAATCAAATTCATCAGCTTCAGACAGTGCAAAATAATTTCTTACATATAACGACCGATTCAGACCATCTTGCTTGCAATGAACTCCTGCATAAAGACTTAAAGATCAAAGAAATTGAAGACTGCATTAAAAACACTAATGATAATTTTTTTAATAAGTGACTTTGTCAATTATTTGCAAGTTTTCATAAATATGAGATTCTACAAGAAGATAGAACCATCAGGCATCTCTTGCTGCTCATTTTAACACAGACAGTGACCAGAACTTAAGCACATACATCAACCTCAGTGGTAGTTGTATCACTGTATTTTCTACTTGTGTGATTTTCTTTGGATTTATTGTATGCTTATTTTGTAACTTGTACTATGATTTCATGTAATATTTCAGGATTTTGATATATTTTATTCACTGGTAATTATGAAATTTATTCCACCCACTCCAGTCTGTTACCAGGATTTTTTCTGTTTTTACAGAAAGTCATATTTTTTCTCCGTTTACTTCGACCTTTCAGTTTTTTTCCTTGCCTCCAGTTCTTCTCAAGATTCCCACATCGAGAATTTCATATTGTCATGTACCTCAGTGCATTATTTTATAGAGCTTGCAACGCTGCATTAGTGCAATAGTTTGGTCATAAAGCGTATAGCTATGCCTATGCCTATCTCACTCCCTTCTCTTTGGCCACTTTTTTGTTTGCCTCTCTTTGCGCTCTTCCTCTTCACTACAGCAACATGCTGCTTCTTTCAAAAAGTATATTTTTCAATTTTATTGGATGTAAAACATTCTTTAAGAACAAGGCACTGTAACACTGATTTGATTTGTGTTAGATTGAATAAAAATGTGGGCCAACCATGAACAAAAAGGAAGCAATTGAATTCGGCCACATCTGCAAGTTTCTGGTTTATACATTCATCTACCATGTTAAGTTATTGCAATGAGCTTCTTTCAAGTTATATATATAATTGTTTATTTATTTATTAGTATATTTTTAATGATTATTTTATGTTTATTCTTATTGCATCTTGTGTAATCTGTAGTCAGTTATTGCATCTGTGTATGATTCGTTGCTTTATTTATTGTAGATGTAACTTTGGGTGCTTGTGAAATTAGCTTAAGGAAAATTGGAAATATATACTTCTGATCCACGTCAGGTCTTGGTGACATATTGGAAACTTTCAGAAAGCAAGTTTTAAGATTTTAGGATCTGTTTTGGAATGATGTTCTGAAATTGCTGCTATTGTTTTGTTTTTCGTATAATTTCCTTTTGTGTCACACTTCTAGGAGCTTGAACCATTTGAGATGTTTCTTATTGGTGGCCAATTGGCTCAGGTTGCTGAACACTGATATTTTATCCTGAATTCAAAATCTGGTAAATGTACTTGCTGCATGGAGTTTTCTTTATTTTCTTTACATTTAATTTAAATAAAACCAATTTTCATTGTAAACTCCTCTGCAAAAAAAGGTAAATAGTCATTGTGTGTTTTGCCGTAATTTATTAATTAACCATTTGAGGGTTAATCTGCGCTTCTGTGGTTGTTAGTTTATTTTTAAATGATTTCAGTCATTAAATTTGTGAGTAATTTTGTAGTTTATAATATTTGTGTTGTATTGAGGAGAATTTCAGTATTATTTTTCTGTTCTCCTTCCAGAGTTTTCAGTTGTTTTTTCCATCTAAAAGTATTATCACTTGAAGCTGCAATAGAAGTTCAAGTTTTCTTTTTATTGAGTCTAATTAGAAATAGCCTAATTATACCTAATTATTGAGCCTAATTATACATGAATAAAATTATATAATTGTATTTATTAATTAACCATTTGAGGGTTAATCTGTGCTTTTGTGGTTGTTAGTTTATTTTAAAATGGTTTCAGTCATTAAATCTGTGACTAATTTTGTAGTTTATAATACTTATGTTGTATTGAGGAGAATTTCAGCATTATTTCTCTGTTCTCCTTTCACAGTTTTTAACTGTTTTTTCCATCTAAAAGTATTATCACTTGAAGTTGCAGTAGAAATTCAAGTTTTCTTTTTATTGAATCTAATTATAAGAAGATCTTGAGGAACCATAATGTATTACAAAATGTATATGCATATTGAAAATGCTCTATGCTTTGTGATGCTGGGTAAATCATTGAATATGTATTTGTACATAAATAAAACTATAAAATTGTATATATGTTCATAAGTGATGACTCTGTTAAGGCAGTGAATTAAAAAACTGTGAGAAGAACATTATAATTGTTATACTGAAAAACATTTTGCGAAACCTACGAACATGGAATTACTGTGCTTAATAGTGCTGTCACCAGAGACAATTGTATTATCATCATTATTAGTTGTCTTATTGGTACTTATTTTTATAGCTTCCATTACTTAAAGAGACTTCCATTATTTTCCATTAAAAGAAAAGTAAAGTTATAATTTTGAAGTTTGTATAGTAGAAATCCTTGGAACAAGAAAATGTTTTTGATGTATTAAAAGCAATCACAGAAATATAACAGCCACAAACTATGTGTGAAAAGTAAATATGTCTGCTGTGCTAGTTCTTAAATTTTTTTAATTAAAACTTGGCAATAATTTTGGTACCATTTAAATAAAATAATGAAGAAGGGCTAATGATACCTCTTATTGGCATCTCTCATCGTCATCCTCATCATCTCATATGTCATCAATAATACATCTCATCAGTATCATCACCTCTCATCATCTTGATAATTAATGCTTGAATATTTCTAGTTATTTTTATTAAAAATTATAATGCAGTAAAATAGTATTGGTTATTCCATATTAGGAATTAAGTTCATTTTCTGAGTAATTGTTGACTGTTAGCAGATATTGCATTTTCTGAGCATATACAGAGTAAGATAGCATTCATTTTCAGCATTTTATTAAAAATATTGATAAATTTCTATAAAATACAAAAAATGCTCTTCTTTTGTTTCTAATGAGGTATTCACGCCCCCTTAAAAAAAGCCATTAGATGTCTTAAAAGAAGAATTGTATTAAAACTGGGTTTACCCACATCTTAACTGTATTTCTTTTCTATCCTTTAATCATGTATATTTTATTTGTTTAGAGAAATATATCATTTATCTTTTAGGGTGGTTTAGCTTCCATCACAAAAGGTCAACCACTAGAAGTAGCGCATGGCTCTCAAATTACGTTGCGACATACTCATGGTAGAGCTTGTTGGCTTCATTCACATCCTCATGTATATCCTTTGCGATATCCCGATAAAAGAGGTAGTTCTCATCAGCAACAAGTGAGAATGCAGTTAATTTTATTATCAAGTATTTCATAAGTTTATGTAAAGTTTTTGGTTGTGTGTTTTTGTAACTTCAATCATCTTGACATGCTGGATAGTCAGTAATTATACTTTTAAATTTAAATTTAATTGACATCAACTCCTAAACTCCTAAACTATGAAAACTATTGTATTATAATTTATGAAAAGTACTTTAATCGCACATTGTTCCGATTGCTGCACGAATTGCTCCAGACTGTTTTTATTAAAATGACCTGTTAATGATGGAAAATGTCAAATGATTTTGACATTTTTGAGGTAAGGGATGTAGAAGGAGATAGACAGTACCTGTTCTAATTAAAATAAAAAAGGAACCTTTTTTATTATTTTAATTAATAAAAGGCATAGTTTATATGTTTTGTATTGAAACATTTTCTAAACATATGCTATAAAAATTAAATCTGAAGTTAAATAAATACATTAAATGAAAGGCAGAAGGTTTTTTTTTTTTTTTTCTTTTATCATTGAAACTATGTATGTCTCAATGGTGAAAGTACTTTGGGTTCTGTATTTATGAAAGTGCTCAAGTGTGTATAACTCATTAAGCATACATGTGTATCTGATGATTTAGTATTTGTGTTAATTTGTGTCTGCAATTAACCTTATTATACATATAATAATTTCATTTTCATAATTTACTTTGTATGTATTTATAATATAGTTTCATCTTTACTTTTACCAAATTTTTATGAAATTTTTTAGGCTTAATTCTGTCTACTTAAAACAAAATTTCTCCAATGTATAGTTACTAACTCTGTCATTTTTATTCCTCTGTGTGACATGGCTTTTTGAATCAGCTCATGAAGACCTGTATCTAAGCAGCATTTACCATAATTTAAGGTTGGTAAGCCGTCCTGGTGTATATGCCACACATATGATAATTCTTTTTTAAAAAAAACAAAAGTTCACCAGATGAGCCACACCACTGTATATGCTGCAGCAAAGCACTCCAAACCATGGCATTTAATATTCCTTTATTCAGTAATTCCTTTCCATATTGATATAATCAACATTTATAACATATACAACATAACTATGAAATGTAACCTATAAATAAATAAACATCTTACCTTGAACTTGCCAAAAACAAACTTTGATTTCCAGTAGATGTTATTTTTTCAGGTTGGGTAAACTTTGCTTATCACCATAAAAAACGAATATGAAAATTAGATTATCAAACAAAAATTTATAATTAATATAAACTATATTTATTTGTATAAAAACCTCCAAATTTGACTCATTAGTGTCAGAATTAAATAAACTTAGTAAATGACCATAAAGATCACTTTCATCATTCTGTTCTAAATCACTTCTTCCAGTGTTGCTATTGTTATTTTCAATTTTTTTTTTCAATGATTTCTGATACAATCGTATCAGCTCGAACTAATTGCCATGCTTTATCAATCCACAGGGCAACTTCTTCCTACGAAGCTTTTCTCATCAGTCCTGAATTTGTGAAGGAATGAAGTCTGTTTCACATCCATTTCTTCCACTGTTTTCATAGTTTGTACTTGAAAATTCTATTGATGGTAGGATCCAGTAGTTGTAAAATTTTTGTAAGCCTACCTGGTATCATTGAGGCATCCTTCGCATTTTACAATATCCATTAAATGGCATCACATTAAATCCAGAATGATGAGTCTCGAAAGTAGAAAAAGGCCTTTTTTTATTATTTTTCTTTCCTTTCTTTTTTTTCCTAATAAACTTCTGTCAGTCAAAGACACATCAGTTCTTCACATATTCATCCTTTTTTTGTTGGTGCAAATAATGACACTTTTAGAGAAGGTTCCTTTTGGAACTGTTTATCATTTGAAAATTATCGAAGGAGGTTAACTTTGCTCCATTGGTCGCACCACCCCAAACAAAAGTAAGTCTTTTGATTCCCATTGTTAACGCAGAAATAGTTTTTTCACCCGTTGAATGAATATTTCTGCTGGGAGGACAATCAAAAGTAGTGGGCCCTGTATTCATATTAATTATTTTCCCACTATTAAAATTTTGTTCTTTAATTTTCTTAGATGTGTACTCCAAAAAAAGCTATCTTTTTTTTTCCCCTCCAAACCAGGCCACGGGAAGCTTCTGTCCAACTTTTATTTTGGTCCTGAAGGATAATTTCTTTTGTTTCATAAATCTGAAACACCAGTTGTTGAGCAATTGCTTTTGCTTGAAGGCAAAATATCTTAACTGCTGACACTGATAATCTCTTTTCTCTTTGTTCTGTGGTCACTTTCTCTAATTTTTTTTGAAAACAAGCAAGAGTATAATGGCAGCCTGATAAGATCTTTTATTTGTAGGCATATTCTGTAATTTTTCTTGTTCAGATTTTCATCACCAAATATATTTCTCAACTTGAAATTCTTTAACCATGGAACAATTTCCAATTTCTATCACTTCTTTCACTGCTAAAAGCTTAAAGGCAGTTGTATAACTTTTCTTGAAGCAAGAGCCTAAAATAATAATAATTTTAAAAATTAAACAAGCATGAACAATAAAGAAAGCACTGCAACAAGTAAGCAATAAGCCAGCCACGAAGCAATAAAACACACGTAAGAACTTGGTGAAGTAAAAGTTTCTGTGGCCTTTTAAAAAAATGAAAAAGAAAATCTGAAGGCTTTCAGATTTTATATTATGCCCAAAAGGACTTTTTTTTAAATGTTTTGTGTGTTACCTTTATTTATTACATATCATGTTTTTTGCACTTAAACCATAAAATTCAATTCAACAGCACTATCGCAAAATAATTTTAAAATGAGCATATCTTTAGAATTTCTGATACAGTCTCACGTGCTGGAAATAAAAATGTTTTTCTTTTTCCGTAAAGTGTTACCATTTCTTGGTTTGAAATTGTTGAGTTTCTTAATGAAAAACTCATAAATGATTTACATGAATGAATATGAATAGATAATAAAACAATAATGATATGATATGAATAGATAATAAAACAAATTATAATAATAATATAATGCTATGATAATAATGATATGAAAATAATAATGATATGAATAATAATAATAATGATACGAATAATAATAATGATATGAATAGATAATAAAACAAATTCCAAATTTGGGCTTCCAGATACCCATATTCGGGTGGAGACGTACGTTATTTAGAATTTGATGGCACTAGGTACTGTTGTTTTATCACAATGTGAGACACATATATATACATTTATGCACTTCTTCATTATGAAATTTCTTTAAATATAATACAGGGCTCTAATATTTGGTGGCATAAAAAGTTATTCGCCATTTATATTGAATCGACACAAAATGCCAAAACAAAATTAATAGCCCTTCTGGGTTAATCCCTTAGAGCTAAAAAAAAGATGGTAATTGAATAATGCAGACAAAACCATGAAATTCAGCAGAAAGTGTGTGTATTATGGTGTCTTTACACTTAGCGCCACTTACCATACAGGCAAGTTTCATATGAGTTTAAATTTTTGTACTGCTTTAGTGCAACCTTAGCATTCTTATCAGGCTAAAATGTCATAGCAAATTCTACATTAACTATTTCACTTTCCATAGCTTTCAAGATAAGTTTTAAAGATAGACAAAAAATGAAATTTCTTCAGATACGCCACAGACTTAAATTTTTAACATTTAAACACATAAGTCTACCTGAAATTACAGTGCTAGCTAAATTTTTATAATTAAATATTTGAGTCTCTGTTTTTTTAAACTTCATTGAGATGAATTAAAGAAAAAAAAGTGATTAAGCATCATTAAAGAAAGAAAAAAAGCAAAATAATTTAAAGCTAATATATAGCAAGTGACAAAAAGTCTCTCATTAAATTTAGCATGACTGGTAGCATACCAGTAGCATTTAATCACATGATTAGATAAAGTCAATCATGCTACTCTAAGGATTAAATATTGATCTTAGACATTCCAATTACAGAGTTCTTCCAAATAAGATAAAGAGTTTTACAAGAACAATGCGAGTTTTGCAATAAAAGCATTTTGGAAACGGGGGGAAAAAAGAATTACATTTGGTTTGTAAAGCAGAAAGTTCAAAATTGCAGTATTCATTATGCTTTTGTAAGTTCAGTGCAAATCGTTTTGTACCTTCTGGTGCAAAATTTAGAATATATTTCAGATCAAAAGTGTTGACTTATACCCTTGTCTCTTGCATGAATGAAATATTTCATAAAAGGTATAGATAATAAAATTTTGTATTTATAATTCTACTTCTGATGCTAAAGCTGGTTTCAAAATACTCTCTTCCTTTAAAAAACTTTATAATTGGAAGTATGAAGTACATATCTAAGATCAGTATTTAAGAAAATAAACTCTTTATTCATAATTTTTTTAGGATTCCTTTGTGTGTGGGATTATATGTATAGCTCTCTGTCTATATAAAATTCTTGGAATGCCAAACTGCTATCCAAAGATCATTTGAATTTATACCTTTCTGGATGTGCTAAGAGAAATGTTTTGTGGTTTTTGTATGATGGGTGGAGAGTAGTTATTTGCAATAAATTTATAAGGTTGCATAAAATCTGCTCTTTATGCAGTACAAATTTAAAATGTGTTTATTCTGTATTAAGTTTTTTAAGGTATTTAGTTTAAAATAAGATAATTATGGAGGACATTCAATAAAAACATGAGCTGAAAGTTTTATCACAGCAATGGCTTAATAATTCTCAAAAGCTTTTATTGTTATTGTTTATAAATTTATCCTAGTAAGACATTTAAGTACAATTGCGTTCTCACAAAAATCCTTAGGTTGTTCTGGAACCATTTCTGAACTCTTTCCTTTATGTTATCATCTACCTGGAAGCAATGTCTTTACAAAGCATTTATTTAGGCTTCCTGTTGTGTCTTGTTGCCATTGGCTAACCTTGACAGGAAGTTATTCAGTTCTTCTTCTTCTTTCTGTAGCATATTGCTGCGGACACTGAGCCATATGACATACTTCGTCCTCACTCAAGTTATGAAGCATCCATTGTGTGCTCACTTTATGAAATTCAGTTAGTTTCAACAGTCATATGAACAGTTCCAGAACTCTAGCAAAAAACAACACGAGTTTTCTGAAATTATTGTAGCTTAGTCTTGCTGAATGAATATATTAACTTTTCTAACAATAGCATCTGTGATGTGCTTTGGTATATTGCATCATTAGTTGTCTTCAAAAGAAGACTATCCTTTGCTAAAATGCTTGTATTACTCCTTTACCCTTGCAAGTAATATGCAGTGTTCTATGTATATTTGTGTCATCCATCACTGAATTTCTGTATCACCTTCCTTTTCTGCATTACATCTTTAGCTTGCTTGAAATGTACTTACTACTTTACCTTGAAATGTACTTTACTTACTGTGTACTTACTACTTTATCTTCTCCTTCTGTTGATGTACAACTAGCTTCATCTGATGTCCCATGCATATGTAGGACTTTTTCCTAAAGAGTGTTGTTACTGCTTAGACATTACAGCAGCTTTGCCTGAAATATTTCTTTGCTAGTAGTTTTCAGCTCATTTTTCATTGAATGCCTCTTATATAAATGTTTTAAAAAATAAATTTCATTTTAAAGTTTCAGGTTTAATTTATTTTAAATTAGATAAACATAAAAATTTAGCATCAGGAAATTTCTTTCATATATTTCTTTTATAGACCATAAAAACATCTGTATATATTTTGGTAAAAAATGAATAGATCATTCATAATTTTCCCTTTAATTTTATATTTCAGACAATCATCTGAATTGTATTTAAAAGTTTTCGGCAAAAAAATTTTTAAACACATATCTTAAATTTATTAGGTAACGTGTTACAGTTTTAAAGATGTCAATAATTGGTGGATCGTTAAGCGACCTGATATGTAAGTATAAGCTGATTGAATTATCAGTTTTAAAATATGTTTTATATCATTTTTTTTCCTCTGTATCATTCTATACTTTTATGTTTTCATTTATTTGGACACAGAAATGAACTTGTGGTCTCAGATCCAATTGACAAAATTAAACATGGTGATGTTATTCAGCTTATTCATGGAATGACAACTCGTGCTCTTAACAGGTAAAACTATCAAAATTTAAACCTCCCCCCTTTTTTTCTAAGCATATTGGTATTTTCAATTTGCAATCTGTGATTATGTTTAAATGAAACCAAATGTTTTAGATAAGATAACCTAAGAGGTTGGCTCTATATGAATTTTCAAATGACTGTGACATATTTTCTTTGATAAATTTTGCTAGTTTTTTTATTATTATTCAGAAAAATTATTATAGCTTAGTTTAACCATTCAGTTTTTTAATAGAAAAGTTTTTAAGTTGTATTTTCAAGCTGCCATATGAATTGGAAGATTATCAAAAATTTTTAAAGTATGTATGTATTTAAAAAATTAAATTTGCAGAACTGAAAGCTTTTGTGCATTGGTAAAAGATTTCATATCTGCAGATATGATAAAACTACAGACAGTTGTAATATTATGTGCATTAATGTGTAGCTTTAATTTCAATGTATATTTTTATTAATACTTTTTTTAAATATATATAGCCATGATGTTGCTGCTCCCATGTCTCCCCAAAATCAAGAAGTGTCTTGCTATATTGATTATAACATTTCATTCCCTGCTCAGAATTTATGGAAAGTGGTATGTTATATTTTATAATATGCACTTTCTTATTGCAAAAAGAAACAAAAAAGGAATCCAAAAGAAGTTTTTCAAATTTCTAAAGCACTATGTATTTTATAATCACTTTTATATTTTTTATAAGATGTATTCACATAACATTTTTTGTGATTTATGCAATAATATGTGTCACTTTTTTTTGACTGCCCAAAATTAATTTTAAATCATTTAAGAAAATGAAATTTCAAAAATATTTTAAAAGCAAAACAGTATGTGTGTAAAATGATAATATATAATGGCTGGATATACATAATGAATAATATATAATATTTTTTTTGCAGGGGGGGGCATTCAAATAATTTGATTACCAGTTGATAAAAATATGCACTTAAATTTGAATAACTGATATATGTAATAAAAATATGATAGAATACACATAGTGCTGTCGTCAGACTGTAAAAACAATCTTGAATTTATTTCTTATATTATTACCCCTTGTATTATTTTATAATGATCTTATTTGTTGTATATTTTATTCTTTTATAATGATCTTATTTGTTGTCTAGAATATATATCCCAAGTTAAGTATTTCAATTTTCTTTATGATTAGGATATTATAAATAGAGATACTGAAGGGGATGTTTGGCATACTATACATTCTCATGTGCGTTTTATTCATACAGCATCAGGCCAGGCTCTAAAGGTATGTTTATTATATTCACATAAATATTTTATTTAAATGCCGCCCAGACAGTATAGTGACTAGGGGAACCTGACTTCGATACCGAAGGGCCTGAGTTTGAATCCCAGAGAAAGCATGGATTTAAAATTATCTGTCCCTTAATAGGAGGTAACAGTGGCTGCCTATTAGGTGCCTCTGCAATAAAATGGTCACCATTTCTAGGCTTAGTAGTGGTTAATGCCATTATAGGCAAGTGTCCACCAATTATAGGAGGGAATATTTTATTTAAACAGAATAAAGTAATCCTTTATTACTTATAATTTTAATATGTGCAGTATATAAATAGTTCATGGCTATGGTACAATTATATATGTGTTTTTAAATGTATATCAATAATTTACTTATCTTCTAGTATAAATTGTACTCTGTTTTTGACTAAATTGACAGGCAGCTTGCTAATATTTTATCAATAATGTATTCTCTCTTTATTTTGTAAGATTCTGTTAGCACAAATAAAAACTATAGTGTACTATAGCTTCATAACTATATATACATGTTGAGGAAACATTTATTAAAGATGGTGATGAAATTTACTATTATGGATACTATGTTAGAAAGAAGAAAAAAAAGAGAAGTTATGTTTGTCTTCCACTGTGGTCCACTCGTTCTTCCACATCTTCAGATGTATCATCGAATTTTGTTTCATCTTCATCATCATTGTTATTTTGATCCATAAATACATAATCAGTAACTGTTCCATCTTTCACCAACATGAAACATCTTTGCTGCAGCATGATTTCAATTTTGTTTCCCAAAATGAATGGCTTTACATTTGAAACCAGCACTATGTTTGTTTCTTTTTGCAGGAGCTATATTTACTACTAAAAGGAGAGCTAGATCAACCGTATTTCAACTAAAGCAAATGCAATTTACTAAATCCTTCGATTTTCATTTTAAAATCTCAGCTTCAAATGATTATAGAAAGAGAAAACATCTAACTCCTAACTCCATAAGTTCATTCAGGTTGGAAGTGCTCTTAAGTAGCATTCTTTTGGACTCCTGCATCGAATACAATCCACCCTCTTTGCCGGAATATTTACTCCCTCAAGCATTTAACTCACACATATTGTTCTCCTTATTGCTTATCAGTGTGGTTTACCATTGTTCGAATAAGTAACCTCAAAAGTTAAGAGCATTGTACATGTATTCTTTAGGTTTCTTCGGGAAGAAGTGGATGTGCATTATATGACGAATATAACTAAAAATTAAAAGATGAAGCTTGAAATTATAAATATGCATTATACACCGGAAAATATGGTATGTAAGCTGAGGAAAAATTAAATTTTCCTGTATGTAACTTTATAATTATTATACATATAGCATGTTTTATGGTAATTTCATTTTTTTACATTTCTTATTTACATAATTTTAAGGTGTGATGCTTGCAGGTTTTTTGCCAGTTTCTTTAAATCTAAACTAGAAGAGTTGCTTACAATAATGAAAAGAAGAACTGTGAGTGGGAATATTGTTTGATTTGTGGGTAGGCAGCAGTTATTCTGAAAGATACTTCAGATTGTATTTGCAAATGGAAACAACTTCATCAGTTTTCAGTTGGAAAATATGTATTGACTTAGTGTCAGAACTAATTGAACATTCTTTAGGCAGTTAGTTAGCTCAGGCTTAAAGGTTCAATCACGGGTAGTTTTTTTATGTAATTCTTGGTAAGTAAATAATGACATGAATTTATCTTGAAGACCTACTGGATCACAGCTTGCTATGTTAATTAAATGTTGAAAATATTATATGTAATATTTAAAAAATTTTATAATAGCATGTTAGATCTCCTCTGCTATGAATAATGCAAACTGATTTTATCATATTTATTAAATATTTGTAATTGTGAGATTATTGTTATTATTGACTTTTTTAAACTTGTGAGTATATTTGTGGAGATTTTTTTATTTTCTAACTAATTACAAGTGTAATCTAAAGCCTTATAAAAGCATTTTATTCATGAAATAAATGTAAAGGTGTGGAAAATATTCATTGAACATTATGATTCTCGTGCATTTAATGGGTATTTAATTTCCAAGTTAAAAGTAAATGTTGAAAGAGTGAAACCCCTGTTAATATACATACGTGCTTAAGAACTAAATTAATGTACATGTAAGTGTAAAGAGAAACATTAACCCTTCAGCGACTGGAGACGTAAACATGCGTTTACTGCTGCTCTTTCACGAGTGTTTGTCCAAGGCCAGAAGGTTTTTTGCTGTTAAGCCTAAATCCATGAAATTACCAAAATATGAATTGTTGTTTAACCCCTTTGTGCCGGGTAGCGCAAACGCGCGCTTATCGCGAAGGCCGGCAGTGTCTTACGCAAGCGTCTGTCCAGGGCCGGGGGCTTTTTTGCTACTAAGCCTAAATCCATGAAATTTCCGAAGTATCAACGCATTTAAACGGCTTATGCTTTATAGATATTTTTATACTATATACTTTAATTACCTTATTTCTTGTTTAAATGCATATTTTACACATTTTATTTTCATTACTCACCATTTTATGACTTTTAATATTATACATCTGAAAACTAAATATATTACTTAAAATTCTCTTTTCGTGTGAAAAATTTGAAAACAGGGATCTACACACAGTCCTACGTAACATTCTTTGCACTCGTAATAATTTTGGAGGATTTTTCCAGGAATGTGAACAAACGAAGCATCGTCGTCTCATTTTCTTATCAGTCTCTTCTGAACAAAGTTTTGGAAAAATGTCTTTCAGTTAATCTTTCAGAATCAAAATCAGAATATCAGAAACAATATCTGAAATATTTTGCATCATTTCTGCTATTTCATGCTCTGTTAAACATTTTCGACGCTTCGACATTGCAACGGTAAAAACAAAAAGAATTCACGTCTAACAAGATCTAATTATTTTCTAAAAACTGTACTGCAAACTGAAATACCCAACGCTTTAGCGCAAATAAAACTTATCTACTTACAGTAAACAACTACTACGTGCGAATAAAGTGCGATTTAAAGAGACGTCATAAATCACTCCATTTGGAAACATTTATTTCCCCGTTTGTTTATGTAATCAAAAACACGTGTATGTGAGTCATGCTTCTCTCATTTCGAGTAGAAGGTCTAATGTACATGTATCTGAAACCATATGGACATACAGTGCCATCTTGTGGCAGAAATTATAGTTTTTCAAACGTACAGCATATGCTTTGTATATCTTTTATTTACATACTTTATTCACATATGTTTCTTCTTATTTAAATACATTTTTTACATGTTTTATTTTCAATGTTAACTGTTCATTTAATGACATTTATACACTTGAAAACTAAATATGTAGTTTTAAATTCTTTTTTAGTATGACAAATTTGAAAATAGGGATCTACACTCAGTCCTGCATTACAATCCTTGCATTCATAACAACTCATTTGCCATTTTGGAGGACATTTGTAGGAATGTGAACAAACAAAACAGTTTTACTTTCTCAGCAGTTTCTTTTGAATAAAGTTTTGAAATATGTCTTTCAGTTAATCTGAGCAGTAAATCCTACTGATTTGGGTATGATATTAACATTGCTGATTTTAGAGGAAAACTGAGAAATAATTTGATTCACTAAATTAAGGCAATATTTAAGGAGAGGAAGATTGTTCTTAATTTTTGGTTGAAAATAATTTAGCCATATCCATGATATTCAAGAAATTTTTTTTATACATTTTACAGTTTTTCTGTAAGTTGGATATTGAATTATGATGGCATCGCTTAGTCTGTCTGTAGCATATTTTTGTTGTATTGTACAATACACTTTGAGTTCGTGATAGGATTACCTGTTGTCTGATCCTTTTTTCCATTATCACACATTTTGGTATCATGTACAGTTGATATGCTTAGCATTTTCCACCTATCTTTGAAAGCAGTTTGTTATTTTTCTGCAAAAACAACATATCACCGATTTTCATTTTGGGCGGTGGAAATTTTTAGGCATTCCTTTCCTTCTTCTTATTTTAGTCCCAGCAGTATTTGTTTCTAGTCTGAAGTGTTCATCTGCCAATGACGGAGATATAAAAAAAGGCTGATATATAAATTGGGCCCTTGACCATAAAGTTCTTCAAGTAAATATTTGACAACTCATTCCCCATGTAATCCTAAAGTTTCTTTTAATTCTGTTCCTTTTCTCATGTAAGTGATAAAATTATATATATACAGGGTGATTCTACATTGTTTTTACAAATTAAGAGGGGTGATAGTACTTATCCAGATGAGCAATAATTACCATAGAACATAGGATCACATTCCACTCTGAGAGGCAGAAAAGAGGAATATTAGAATTCCAACATGAATGTAAACAGTGTTGGGAGAGCGAATGAACAAGACCGAAAGTTGTACAATCAGTTTAGTGAAAAACTCACAGAAAGTGCACAAAACGAATAAAACCGAAAACTTGGCGTTTGAGTGTTAATTCGAGCTCCGACTTTGATGGCAAACACTCAAACACACATCTTTGGTTGGCAATGTCTTAGTCTCACAAACGATTGCAACAAATTAATTATCTAATCAAAGGCTGAATATGATCACCTAACTCCAATTTTCACTGTATGCCGAAATTAGTATGAAAAGTCCATCCTGTGTTTCGGCTGTCAGAACTTCAAGTAGAATGAGTGCAGCACTTCAAGTAGAATGAGTGCAGCACAGTAAGTCCAGGAGAACAGGATAGAAGATGGTGAAGGGGAAAAAAAACTGCTACCTTGATACTTGATATCAAGGTAGCAGTCTCCCCCCCAATAGATAATTTCTCCTTAATAATTTAGATAATTAACTTGTTACAATCGTTTGCGAGGTTGAGACCTTGCCACCCAAAGATGTGCATCTGAGTGTTTGCCATCAAAGTCTGAGCTCGGATTAACACTCAAACTCCAAGTTTTCGATTTTATCCGTTTTTTTTTTTTTTTTTTTTTTTTTTTCCACTCTCTGTGAGTTTTTCACTAAACTGATTGCACAACTTTTGGTCTTGTTCCTTCGCTCTTCCGACTGTGTTGTAAGTTTAGGTTGGAATTCTAATACTCCTCTTTTCTGCCTCTCGGAGTGGAATGCGACCATATGTTCGATGGTAATTATTGCTCATCTGTATGAGTACTGCCACCCCTCTTAATTTGTAAAAACAATTTAGAATCACCCTGTATGTACTGATTTAGATTCACACAATTTTTAAAGTTTAATTCTACATCGGTATCATTTAGCAAGGACATATTGGTGAAATCTAAGTCTTCTTTTCCTCAAGAACAAGCTTTTGTCTACTGATATATTCCTTTCAGCAGTGTAAGCAGATTCGAAATTCTCAATTGTTTTATTCAGAACTGGTTGAAGTTTTCCAATTTTTTTTTTGTCATAGCTGCTGAAAAAATCCAAACATTGAAGAATTGCAACGTATCGATCATGACACATTACACTACTAAAAAGTGGCCTTGCAATCATGGGATTCATAGAAAAGTACATTTTAATTCTGGATTTTTTTATAATACCCATCAAAATTGTTAGAGCAAGGAAAACAAACATTTCTTCAACTGTAACAGGTATATAGTTCAAAGAATTGCACCAGATACATGTTCGGATATTTAGTTCTGTGATTCAGATTAGTCTCTTCAGTAATTAATTTCATTTTGTATCGTCAAAATAATACCTAAAAAAATCAATTTTATCTTCAACTGAATTATTCTCTTTTAGTCGTGGCACTGCTTTGAGTGGTAATTGCGCTAACTTTTCTATTGTGGATGACTATGGAGAAGTTTTTGCCTCGATGTACTCAGCATGCAGATGTTTGAAATGCCCTCATCATTAGATTGTGTTAAATTCATTATGAATGGAACAATCAGAATATATTATAGTGCCACAACCACTACTCTCAGACTCTGTTTCAGAATCAATATCTGAAATATTTTGCATCATTTCTGCTATTTCAAGTTCAGTTAAATATTTTCGATGCTTTGACTTTCTAATGCTGAAAAAAAGAGAAATATCACATCTACAAGACTGCAAACTAGGCTACAAACCCAAGTACCAAATGCGGTATTGAAAATAAAACTCTCCTACTTACTGCAAACAATTACCATGTGCTCATTTTTAAAAGACGTTATAAAGCATGCTTGTGGAATGCTTTATGACGTTCCCTTCTTCTATGTTTCCCCTATGTTGTTCCCTTCCTCTATGTTTATATAATAAAAATCAACGTTCAAGAGAGTCATATTTCTTTCATTTTGAGATGAAGGTCAAACCTACATGTACATCAAATCCTTTGGACATACATTGCTGTCTTGTGGCAAAAGATATCGTTTTTAAAACGTTCCTAAACACAGGCACAAATGCATGACAGCTAGGAGCAAATGAGAAAATGCTCTGACATGCCACATGCCGGCCTGGAAATGAGTGCGTTTCTTGCTGGCATGAATGTGTGACAGTCAGTGCAAAAGGGTTAAGAGTAAGATATTTTATATCTTATTCTTGATGTTTCTTTTTATACATATACATGTGTTAATTTATGTAAATTTGGTCTATCATATGAAGGTAAATCATTCAAACATTAGTATTATATTAACATTATAATCAGGATATTTGTATACATATGCATACTTCTTAAATTTTCCTAATTTCTTGATACAGTGGCCAGGTGGTTAAAATCTTGGAATGAATTCAATCTGGGTTCAATTCCAGGCAAACAATTGAATTTATGGTTGTTTTTCATAATTTTCCTTTTCTGTTATATGAATATGAGCCAATTTTCCTTAGAACATTATCCACAAGGATATCTCTTCTTTTAGGCTGATTGCCTTTGCTATATTTGAATATCTTAACCTGTTAATTTAATGTATTTTTATTTGATACTGTTGATATTGTTGCGTGCGTACGGGTTCGTCATGAAATGAATGCACAAGTCCAATGAAAAATGAACAAAATTTATTATTATTACAACAAATGTGTTTAAATTTCCTCAAATTATCGTGCAGTATTACAATATTTCACAGTAGTTATCTTTCAACTACTCAAACGTTCAATAGAACTTAATCAGCTAAAGAAAGCTAATCCGCGAATTCGCTACAATCAACAAGAGCAGTTTTCTAAACAAACTCTTAAAACAACAACAAGCTAACTAAAATCACTGACTAACTGAATTGAGAGGTTTTCCTCCTTTTTACAAGATTTTTAAATCGCCTGTGAGAACTTTCTGAAACTTTCTCAAAATCAAAAAGAGATATTTATTAAATGTTACATGCACGCGCACTTGTATTTCAATTTTCTGGCTTAGCTTTCTTTTAATATTTGTCACGCTCTGCACTACGCGGAAAATTAAACCATTTAATTTACAATTCAACTAACATAAGCTATTTAAATACCAAATCCATAACAATATGTTCCTGTGTCTTCATTGACTGTAGAAAAAGTTTATGAAAGGATTTATTATTTTGGTATAATTGAACATATTTATCTGAATATGTGTCCTTTTGAATGATATGTATTGAGATTATATTTTATAGTATATGATTTTTAAAAGGTGATTATTTCAAAAATCACTAGAATTAAGTAATTATAATAATAATAATGCTATTGTTTTTAATTTGCAGTTTAGTGGAAAACAGTTGCCTGAATGGGGCTTTAATCAACATGAAATAGTAACAGATAGAATAATAAATCAAGATGATACTATATGGAATGTTGAGGAGCACAGATATACAAAAAGTAATACTTTCTAGTTGTAGAGATTATTTATGTATCTGTTTTACAGTAGAAAGTCCATGATCTGGACGTGCAATATCTGGAATGATCTAAAATCTGGAATTCAATGCCACAAACAGCTTTTTTTTTTTTTTTTTTTTTAAGGGAATTTTTTTATGTATGCTTTGCACATGCACATTTGATTTTTTCCCCATAATAAAACATGTGGAGAGTTTTGATTCTTAAATGCACTTCGCTAAATAAAATACCTCGTTATTGAAGAAACAATCATTGTAGTAAAAATTTCTGTGATCAATAATTTGACTCCATAGCTGCATATTTGCTTTGCTAACATCTCAAACTGAAACCTTTTCTACATAGAAATAGTGCTGATTGTTTTGGGAAAGCAATCGGAGCTGAAATTTAGGGCAGCAAAAATTTAGAACTTACAGGGGCACTTGGTAGCAGAATTCGCAGACTCGCAGAGGCTGCATCAGGCAGTAAGATGTCTGGTCACGGCCCTCGATAAGCCTCAAGTATATGTGAGAAGTTATTTATTCAGGACTCAGATAAGCCTTAAGCATGCACAAGAAATAGACATAAGTATAATAAATAAGTAAATTGTTACAATTCTGGCTGAATTGTCTTAGTGCACGATAGAAGCAAGACAAAATTTAGAGGAAAACTTGTCTTTCATTTTCAATCTTATGATATATAGCCATTAATGTATAGTGGATGCTATTAAGCTAGGTTAAAATTATACTTTACTGTTTCCAATTAATTTCAGTTAATATAGCAGATTGCTTTGTTCTTTAACTTTCCGAATTGATCCAGCTCATATTTTTTTTGCAGGCTCTTATTATTACAGCAAATCTATGAAAATAAAAGTTTGAACTTTTGATTATGTCTAAAAAAATTTCTAATTCTGGAGCTACAACAGGATCTACAAAGCGAAAGCATGTTTTGATGTCCATTAAATAAAAAGTGGAATGCTGCAAAAAATGGATAAAAGATATATACATCTCAAAATCTCGAGAGTTATGGCATTGGAAAGTCAACTGTGTCATAAGAAAACAGAAAAAGGAACTTTTTGAATTTTTTGTGGGTTCCCACAATCTGCTCGCAATGAAAGCAGAAAAAATTATTTGTTGTGCTAAAAGTGATGATCATGACAAAGTGATTATTGAGTCATTCAGACAGCGTCACAGCAAGGGCGTGCCATTGACGGGTCCAGTGTGAATGGCTCAAGCCAAAATATTTTATGAAGGAATGAACTTAAAAATGAGTACATGTATTCGATAAGTTGATTAACCAAATTTTAAAATTGCCATAGTATATGGCAATTAAAAATTTCAGGTAAAAAAGTTTCAGCTGATACTGAATATTATTTGCAGATGAAATCATTGAACTCATTAGTTGTGAAAAGTTATCTCCAGAATAGATTCACGATGCTGATGAAACTGGTCTTTTCTGGCCGTGAAATATCGTGGCAACTTCTACAGAAAAGGATAATCCATAAGTAATCTCATCCATAAGGAACCATGGAGCATATTATTAAATATTATATTGTTGTGATAATAAGAAATATACATAGCTTCTTAAAAGCATATGGACTAGTATATTCTCATAAATTATGCTGTTATAGAAACATTTTGAAGTAAAGCTAAAATTCAAAGGTTTATGTTAAACTAAAATGTTTAGCTCCATAGTTCAAATTAAAGCTTGAAGAATTTGAAGGCTTGTGGGAACTTTTCTTTTAGCTATGTAAAAGACAGTGAATGCACTTATTTTTCTGTTCAGTTTATTTCTGATTTTTCTCTTTTTAAAGAATTTTAACATTTCTCTCTGCATGCTTTCATAGTGTAATTGGAAGTACATCTAGCTAGCCATCAGAAGCTCCAAAGTTCAAATTCCATTGGGGATATCACCAGATTTTCATGTTGTCTGTTTAAAAAAGCTACTTTACAAATGGTGCCTGACTAAAATTAGGCAGATAGTAATTTTTCGCTACCTTGATTAGGGAACTGGTTTTCCCTCCTCCCCAGCTACCCTTTAAGTGGGAAAAATGTCCTCCCTCACCATATGCCTTCATGATGTTATTGGAAGTATGTCCAGCTGACATTTGGAAGTCTGAGAGGAACATTAATTTTTCCTGTTATTTGCAAATACACTGTACACATTTATGGAAGCACAGTTACTTAATTGACATGACCAGTTTAACATTAAAAAAATGAATACTTTGTACATAAAGAAAAGGAATTCTATTTATTTTCTATTACAAAAGCTATTAATGTATTATTTTTCTTACTAATGCATGTTTTCTTACATTTAAAAGTAATCTTTTATGCATTGGGACTAATATTTTTGAAGTAGTTTAAAATGTATTTTTTATGAAATTGTTTTATGCATGCATGATATACATTATCATAAATCTTTACATATATACGTATATATATATATATATATATTGTTTCAAAAGAATAATTGAATAAATACAAATTTAATTAAATTTTAACAAACATGTATATACGTAAAAAAGTTAAAATAATGTGCAAACATATAAAAGATTTAATGTTTGAACTAATCTGCAATATCATTTAAACTCAGATAGCATAAGCAAATCAAGTGCAAAACCAAAATATGAAAATAAATTCACCAATTTAGCAAATTAAAATTAATCTAAAATTTTTTTTTAAAAATGCGTAAGTGAATGACTGTTGAGCAGGCAGGAGACAGACTCAAGGAGAAGTTGCCTCCAAACCTAACTCTTCAATCATTCAATTCGTGTTTCGTCATTCATGCAAGCAAGGGTAAAAGTCAAAACCAAAAGTAAATACATAGTGAAGAATGTCCAAAAAGAAATACCAACTAAGTGGTACCTTGAGAAATTAGCAATTAAAAATTAAAAGTCGAAAAGGAAAATACCAATAATGAAGTATTTTGAGAAATAAGTAATGTAAAGTTTAGTATTAAATTAAATTTTTTTAGAAAAATTAATTTAGAAACCAATGCATTTTAGAAACCCTTGTCTACAGAAACCTCCCCGACACGAATATGCATTTTAATCATGAAGAAACTAAAAAGAACATTAGTCTCGAAATGACACAGTGCAAATAGAGGTTATTAGTTTTAGAATACAGAAGGGAAATTTATGTTGCTAATTTAATCTTTTGCATATTCTTTATTTTTTTACACACACACATATATATAATATATATATATAACATATAATATGTCATACATAGTAGCTTTATTTCTGTAGTAAAAATTTTGCTGAATAATATATTAACTGATCAACATCATTTATCTTAAATTATGAATTAATACTTTTAATCTTTATTTATTGCTTTATTGCATTAACCTTTTAACTGTCATGCCCGAAATAATCTCGGGCACAGCATTGGTATTCCAAAATGTCACGCCCAAGTATCACTCGGGCTAATTTTTTTTAAGTGCATCGTATTGTTATACCCGAATATATATCGTGAGAAGTTAATTTCGGCTTCAGTTCAACGGATGGCAGCATTTTACTGAAGGTTTCAAAGGACAGAGGTTAAAGTTCAAAGTGCATGGCATTTTTAAAAAAAAAATTTTTTTTGACTGCGAGACAAACATTTCATTTTTGAAATAAAAAAAATTGACAATTTATGCACCCAAATCATCAAAATAACTGGACAGTTAAAAGGTTAATAAGTGCTTTAAAAATATGAGCATGGTTGATATTTTTCATTTTGTTTCTGTTTAAATACAATGTAATATTCAGTGTAATAAATATCCATGTATCCATCTTATCTCTACAATAGTGTTTGTTGCTAAGTATAATGTCGAAAAATTTTTGTCATGATGGTTTTTAATATATTAAGGATATTAACATTTCACTGTTTTATTTTTTATTATTTGGCAATATAATTATAATTGATGCTTTTCTTTTCAAATTTCTTAAATTCTTTCTGTGATATCTTACTTTAGAAGCTGACCAGAAAGAGCGAGAACGTGATATGGGTATGGCAGAATTTGTTCCTTTGCAACCAACAAAGTTATCCTTTTTTGAAAAAATGTGGGAACTTCAGGTTAGTTATTTTGTGTATTTGTGTTTTTATTAAAATAAGGTTTTGTATTCAAAATATCTTTGAATTATTAGTGTAATATTCTTTCTTATTTTGTAGTATAAGATGTTTACAACCAATAGTGAAAATGTTCAGGATCACATGTATAGTTCTGATGCCTCAGAATGGCCTTTTTTAACCCGTGGTATTGCTTATTGGGTCAGTCCTCACAGCAATGTAAGTTGTTGACATTATATATTTGGAAAGTAATTTTATGATGAATTTTTATATAATTTGCATTCATGAAATTTTTTTTGTATATTTGATCTGTGTGTGTGTATTTTTGTATGTTTTTGTTTTGTGTTCATATGTGTAGTCATGATGGTCAGGCCAACTAGTAATTGTTCAGCTGGAATTTTCAAAATTTATTTTTACTGACCATATTCTTAGTCTCAACTTTCAACATATTTTTATGTTATTAACCACTTTAAAATTATCTGCAGGATTTAAATGTAAATAATACTTTCACAAAGTATTTCTCTTCATGAGTGCCTACACTATTCTCAAATATTTAAGATTTAAGGATATAAATACTTTTCCTGAAAAGTATATTTGATATGACATTGGGGATATTTTTTCGTATAATCTCACCTTTTGATCCTAGGGCTACTGTATCTGCAGAATTGTTTACTGAGTTGATGAATTGTTTATTGAAATCATTATTACAACAATCTTAAAATAATTGTCATTTATTAATCTTGGATGTATTCCTAAATATTGATTTTACATGGCGTAATATGTGGCCTGTAATTTTAAGTACACAATTTAAATTGATTGTCAAGGGTACAGAAGTCAGATGCCATATAAATCACTGCATGCGATATTTGGTGTAAATAATTAATTACAGTTAAGAGAGCTTATTAGAAATGAAAATCATTAAATTTCAAAATGTGTTTTAACTAAGTAACATTTGGTGAAGTATTGCTAAATTTTCTAACTTTTAAAAATATCTTTAATTTTTTTATATGTTACTTGTCATAAAAGCATTGGAAAATTCTTGAAATCTGCCAATATCAGTATCCACAGTTTGGGTTAAATAACGCAACAAACAAACATTAACTTTGAAGTCTAACAACAAAAATCAGCATTATATTTGCATATTTTCACAGGACTAATTTCGATGGTTTTACGAACCAACATCCTCAGCTGCTAAAGTGCAAATGAACAAAATTAGAATGGCTAGACAGAATTTAAGCTACTGGCACCATCTATTGGTGAAACAAGAAAACTAAAATATAATTTCCTTAAAGGCTGAAGATAAAGATGGATTGGAATTAGGATTGCTAACTAGAACAGAAAGATTTTGTTGAATTTGAAACACCTCTAGAAAATCTGATTCACCAATGAAAGATGTTTTTTGAACAATTTTGGCTACAGAAAAATGGAAAGTGTGATTTTCGGACCAACAACGTTGGGCATCAGAGGACTTCTGTGTTTCCTTTTCCCTAACATATGCCTCATATTCTTTAACATGAAAATTTAAGGCTCTCTTAGTTGGAGCAATGTAAATTAAACCACATCAGCAAGGAATCCTGCAAATAACCCAGAAATTCATATCCAGAATGAGGTCCTTAACTATGGAACTTGGAATTTTATTGATAGGAGAATAAACAACCCTAAAGTTAAATTTATGTAAAATATGTGCAATTTAATAACTAGTCCTGTAAAAATTTGCAAATATAATGCTGATTTTTGTTCTTTGACTTCTAAATTAATATCAATATCCTCAATTTAAAGATTGTGTACTATTGGTGCAAAGTCTGTGACAGAAACAATATTTGATGTTTAAACATACCAAAACAGCTAGTAATTTCAGTATGACTATTTATTGCCTATGGCTATCTCTTTTCAGTATGTGGTTTCATGTGGTGCCAATCTCAGTGTTCCTGTTATAGCATGTATTTTGAAATGAAAATTACATATTAATTAACTCTGTGTTATGGAGAAATTTTTAATAGTGTATTAAGCAGTGTTGAAATTATCTGTTACAGTGACTGTTTTCAGTTATAGAATTGAATTTCAACAATATCATCAGATGTTTCATTCCAAAAATCAATCTCAGGCCACAGTAGTATACATCACTAAAACTCTATAATGACATAGAAGTATGCCAGAGGAAGGTTTCTGATGTAGTTTACATTTGACAGCAAATTTAAATCAGATTCAATATATCGTGAAAGTGGTGATATTGTGATTTTTCTCATAGAACATGTAATAGGAAAATGTTAGGAGGAAAAACTGATGTGAATTTAACTGTGGAGAAACTACAAGAAGAGAATTTTCATCATATATTGTTAATAATAATTACAAGAAAAAGGACAATAATTATTATAATATAAAGTTGAGGTTTAAGGTTCCCCCTCCCCAATTGTTGAATGAGATGGCTATTACTACAGTAAAAGCTTGACTATCTGGGAATCTTTGAGGAATGCAGATTTCCAGATATGTTAAAAATTCCAGATAACTGAAAAAGTGGAACTTTCGGTTATAAAAGCCAAATAAAAAAAAAGTTTCTGCTCTAAAATTATAAAAGCAGTCATTTTATTTGTTACCAGTTTGATTATTAAAAGGCTGCATTTAAAATTGTACAGTATTTTTTGGGGAAAAGAATGCATTGCTGACATAAAAGCCAATATATTTCAAAGATGTTAAATGTGAAAGTAAAACATCTGATCAGATATTGAAATCCAACTAAACAAACAGATCATTCTTTACTTAATTAGATGAGCGAGCTGTGGCCTAAGCAAAATTTATAAGTTCTATGTACACCTGAAAAGAAAATGCATAAAAACATTTCAATAGGAATGAAATCAGATCATTCTTTCCAAGCAACAACCAATTTGTAATTAATTTTTTTGTTATCAGACCAAGAAACAAAAACTTTTGACACTTGAGGTTAATATGTATGACATCATGATTTAAATTTAATGTAATATAATAACATTTTCTTGGTATCATTAAAAGAATTAATGTGCCAATAACATATCGTGTCAGTTATCCTAACCTGGAACAAAAAAGTTGCCAACAGCACCTATTTATTTGAAATGCTGACATTAACTAAAAATTTTTAACATACAATGATGTCACATGTAATATGATCTTATATAATAATAATATATTTAATATTTGGTGCTCCTATTTTTATTTCATATTTTGTAAAACTTACCGTATATACCCGCGTATAAGTCGACCCCCCACTTCGACATAAAATTTCGTAGAAAATAAGAAACCCATGTGTAAGTCGACCCCCCACTTCCGAAATCGATCGAGAAACTTCCAAAAAATTTTTTTAAGTACTACTTTTATTCAAAATCATCTTAGGAAAAAAGTAAATATACGATTAAAAATACCTTGATAAATAAACAAAATCAAAATCCTTCAACGTCCGAATCATGGTCAGATTCGCCAAGCATTTCATAGAACTCTTCTGTTGTCATTGGCTCGTCATTATACATATTTTCAGTCTCGAACTGCGTATTGTAACCTTCTAGAATTTGTTCCGGAAAAGATTTGCGTACGTAAAATCTATCTGCATTTTCCCTTTTTAAAAGTTAAAAAAAATATTCAAAACTGTTCAGTTATTGCGTGGGTTATTTTTTTTTAATTTTGACATGTATGCCTGTTAACAAAAGTATTTCATGAATGAAGAATAACTATTATAAAGACTTAATGTACGTAAAAACTATCTGCATTTCTCTTTTCTTGGCGTATTGGCGAAACTTTTTTATTGCTCGATATTGATCGGTTGTTCGGGGGCCGAAAATTCTTTGGTTTAATCGAAACTTACTCTCTAGTTAAAATATGAAACTATGTGATTAGTTCGTCACATAATTTAAGTCAAGAAATTACTTCAAGTAAGTGACTTATTTGATAAGTCATCCAATTTGAATGTGAGGAAGAAAACAACTGCATTATATAAAGAAATTTTTGAACATCCGATTCTTTTAATTTTTTATGGCCCCGCGTATAAGTCGACCCCCCACTTTGAAGTCTTTTTTTTGTCCAAAATATCTCGACTTATACACGGGTATATACGGTACAAATTTTTTATTAACAAATTCTACAATTTAAAAGTAAGCAGTGGCAACACTTTTCTAAGTAAAATAGATTTTTATTTCCAGAGCATGAGGCTGTTTCCACTTGGAAAATGAGTATGAAAATTAGCGTTTTCAGAATTTTTAATTAATATCTTGGCTGATTAAAGTTGTACAAAGATAAGAATGGTTGAAATCACTTGAATTCTTGGAATCCAGGGGTACCATTCCTGAAACTCAGCTCCACGCCTTTCAGGAGGAGATGATGTCACAAACAAACAAACAGTCATGCACAGATTTTAATAGTGTAGACTAGCGGGCAAGCCCGCTTTTCATTGTTCAATGTTCATGCTTCAATTGTTGTTTGTTGTTCATGTTCATGTTTCATGTCCCATGTTCAATTGTTGTTCAATTGTTTCATGTCCCATGTTCAATTGTTGTTCATGTTCATGTTTCATGTCCCATGTTCAATTTTGCCGGTATTCGAAAGTTGAACCGAACTACCAGTGTTCAGCGGTTTTGCGCGGGCTGCGCCCGCTTTCTTCGTATATGCACGGAGAAGATACTGCATAAACGATATACATGCATAAAAGCAAGAAAACACCCATGGAGCCAGCCCGTTCGCCGGAATTAGAAAGTTGGACCAAACTACCAGTGTTCTGCGGTTTTGCGCGGGCTGCGCCCACTTTATTCACGTATGCATCCAAAAGATACTACATACACGATACACATGCGAAGAATCACGAAAACACCCATGGAGCCAGCCCGCTCGCCGGGATTCGAAAGTTGGACCGAACTACCAGTGTTCAGCGGAATTTCGCGGGCTAAGCCCGCTTTATTCACATATGCATGGAGAAGATACTGCATACTCGATACACATGTGTAAAATCCCGAAAACACCCATGCAGCCAGCCTATTTGACGGTTTTCGAAATTTGGATCGAACTACCAGTGTTCTGCGCCCGCCTTATTCACGTATGCATCCACAGGATACTTCATAAACATTAGAAATGCAGAAAATCTCGAAAACACACATGCAGTCAGCCCGCTTGCCGGGATTCGAAAGCGGTTTTTAAACAGATACAAATTATGGATGTAATATATAAAAACTTAAATCACTCAGAACTTTTTATATTACATCGACATTGTTTATCTGCTTTCAAAGGGGTGTATCATGTCTTTATTTGTATGTCCTGCTCCTGAACTTTGAAAATACTTCCCTGCATGCTGTTCCAAATATTATGCTGCCCAGCTGGTATAATAGTCAGAGACGCTGACTGCTATACTGATGGGTCCGGGTTTGAATCCTGGAGAAGGCATGCATGTTTGTAAGTGTATAATGTTTGTGCCATGGAGGTAAGAAAGGAAGGAGTGGAAAAATTAGAAGTGAAGCACTGCTCTGAAGTTTCAGTCACCAGATGGGGTGTTTTTTGTTTACATTCAGAAGCCCGCTTGACAGCACTCTGATAGTATTTCGACACACGACAGTTCCATACAAATCGAAAAACAGGACACTTTGGCATAAAAGAAACATTCCTAGTGTGATGGATAATAATAATTTGTATAGTTTAGTGACATTTATGCAAAAATCACATCCTGGTTATTTTTCAATAACTTAGAACAACAATTTTGATTATGAATTTGTTTTATAAAATTCTAAGCTGTTGAACTACAAAAATATAGATTTTAGCAAAAAAGTTATGCTTAAAGAATGAAACATACCTAACTGTACCTTTAAAATGGTATACATATTTCGATACCCTTGATAAAGTAGTCGCTACTTTTATTTTATGTCCCAAATGCCCAAATGTTTTAAATAAAATAATTTTTTTTTCTCATCCACATATTATTGTAAATTTTTAAAATTAGTGTAAATTACCTTACTCGAAAAATATAGTGAACGCACAGAAATTAAAAGATTTCTACATGCCAGAAATGAAAAATATGAAATATGTATGGGTATTTATCCATGTGCTTGCAAAAAGCATCTATCTGCCTTTAACAAAATACATAAATATTTATTAAATTATTTATAAATACATTTTGAAATGAAGGATTTATTCATTCATAAGCAACTGTGAAAGTTACTGTGAAGAAATCTAATTATTTAATGTATCTAAATTTATAATGATTATAAATATTATCTAAATATATAATAACCTTAACATTGAATTGTAAAGATAAATTGACAAATATGTTATAAAACTATTTAAGCAAGAATTGTTCGTACTGGAAAGCAGTTTGTTAAAAGGTTTTATAAAGCAATTTCTATGAGATGCGTATTTAAGAAAGTAATAAAGAAGAGTTTTGTTTTGGAATATGTATTGTTGAAATTAAGGGTAAAAAAATCTAATAAGTATAATTAAAAGAATTATTCCCCTTACATTTTATAATAAGCCAGTTTTAAGTTTTAAATAATATTTAAAAATAATCATTACTTTATTCCCTTTCAGAATATTCAGAGAAAGTTAAGTACTATTTAAAGTATTTCGCTATTAAATTTCTATTAAATGAAAAATCCTCTAGAACGCAAACACTTTATTTGGTTATCTAATTGAAATGGACCGAATAGAGCATTAATTATAAATTGACTTATAGTTTTCGTTTTAAAAGGTGATCATGTCACATTTGAGAACGTATTTAGGAAGAAGCTCTATAAATAGAAAAGAAATAATGCATCATTTTAATAATACAATACACTTTGATCTTAATTTTTGTAATCCTTAACCGAATCAAATCGAATTACCTTAAATTTTTTTTCTAATGTAATTTGTGAAAATATTTCAAATTAAACTGTTCTGTGAAAAGTATAGCATTTAATTCCATTCAGAATGAAATGTTAAAAAATGTATTCTTTTCATGTACTTAGAACTCTGAAGTATTGTAGAAAAACAAAATATATACATTTATATGCATATTTACGACATAATTACAAAATATTTACATCCGATTGTGTCGAAACCCATTGAACTTAATTACCCAATGTTTTGGTCACCAATGAAGGGATCGCCAGTGCTTCAAAGCAGAGTATGGGGGAAACCAGTTTAGGGCCACTCCATCTAACTTCCTACCTCGATGGTTTGTGTAGCAAGGGGGGAACTTAAAATTCGCAGCAAGTCCTCTCAAGAGCTTGGTGGTTGAGAAGATGGGAAGAGACTTTCTTTTTCCCCTTCAGTGTATTCTTCCTCAAATTAGGGTGGAAGTGCATAGTTAGTGCGGAAGGACTGTTCTGTACAACCAATGGTGAACTTGTGGTGTCCCTCTCATTTCTACATCTACCCGTCACAAATATTAATAATTTTTTCAGAATGCGAAGGAGAAAATAGAACTTATATCATTCTTTATAAAAAGTAAACTGGTTTATCGAGAACAGATTTATATTAAATGAAAGCAAAATTCTTATGCTTGTGTTGTAGCATCATGCTTATCCATCTTTGATACAAAATTACGCTATTTTGATGGGAGTGTATTTGTGTTAATAGTTTAACAAGCTCTTTAATAGTGTTAAAAACATGTCATTTTCTAAAGTTTTTTTTTTTGGGGGGGGTATTTTTTTCAAAAATTCTAAAAAATTTCAATTACTCACTCTTTTAGGATAGTTGAATGCTCGATAATCAGGCTTTTACTGTCATTTTGTTGTCTTATACGTTACGAGAACTTGGCTTTATAAGCTGACTTTAGTACTGTACTTTCAAATCAAAATTTAAAAATTGCTAAATTTAAAATGCTATGTTTTTAACTATATAGTCTTTTTATTTTGATAGAGTTTAATATTTTGCAGGCACAAATACATTTGTTAGGGAATGCAGTCACTTGGTATACTGCAACATTTGGGCTAATGTTATACTCTTGTATATTCATTTTTTATTTGCTGAGGCGTCGGAGATGTTTTTACGATATTCCTGAGGGTAAGTGTAAGAATTGCATATTGTATTTCATTTATGCCATAAGGATAGTAATATGTTACTAGGTATGTTTTTTAAGATATCTGTCATTTATTTTATTAGATATGTGGAAGAAGTTTTGTACTGCTGGAAAAGTTTTTGTATTTGGTTACCTACTGCATTTTATGCCATATTTCTTTGTTGACCGTACGCTTTTCCTACACCATTATTTACCTGCATATTTATTTAAACTGTTATTGCTAGCTACACTGATAGAGCATATTAGTTTTGTTGTTTGGTAAGTATATGTTTTTTTTTTTTTTTTTTCTTTCCATTGATATGTACTCTGTTTTCAGTGTGCATGAATTTGTTTCAAATTACTGCTCATATAAATTTTCAAATTTTCATGGGATCTTGTAGTAAACATGTTAAAAAAATGTATAAAATTTAATTATGGAAAGAACTTTTAGCAAAAGCTCAAGTAAGCTTAGTAGCTTTATTATAAAATTTAAAAATTAAATATTCAAATATTTTATAAGACTAAATACAGGAATAAACTAAGTATTACTCCTAAAAAATTACAGTTGGCATTCTTCACTGAAAACTTCAGTTATCATCATTTTGTATTATTGTTCATGTATAGTGAAAAGTTTTCTAGAAGGTAAATGTAAATTAACTATGGGAAGTTTGATTATTAGTAGTGTAGTTGATTATAGTTAGTGTTGATTTTATAAAATTTGATTATAGTTAGTGTAGTTCATAAGGGCTTGGATTATGCTGGGCTATAAGTATAAAACGAGGCAATATTTATAATTATTAAAGTTTTCTTATCTTTTTACTTATATCAGTAAGAGGGGTAGGACTATCCCATCCCTCAATTTTTATGAACCTGGAATAATAAATTTTTATAGAAGATGATATATTGAAGTTTAAAGGTCAAATTCTAGTTCTTACATTTAGAATATCAGTAGGAAAAAGTATAAAAAACTTGGCATAATGTACAGAATGTCACCTAGCAAGGTGGTAAAGTGAACTGACAAACATTAATAAAAATAGTTAAATTCTTGTGAAATATATTTTTAGAATCAGCAGATGGAGTCAAAATTTGGAATTAGTGTTTTTTATTTCTTTTGATGAAATGTCATAATACCGTAGAAGTTTTTGCTGGCTGAATATTGTAGAATGTGCCCATATCTAAAATATAAATTTTTAGAAGTCAAATATCAATTCTTTGTGTACGCAGCATTTCTTGTTAATCTGAAGCTGTTAGCAAGCTATGTTAAGTACTTCATTCTACACTTGGAGTTTTGAGTTGCTTTTAGCATTGTAAGCCCAAATTAGACATTTTTGACTTGACTGTAAGGTGAACAGTAGTCTTATAATATGTGTAGTGAATAAAAATTATTTCAAGGAATTAAAGTTTTAATTTTAGACAGACACAGTATTTTAGATTAAGTATGTGAAGTTTGAAACCCATATAAATAGACTTACCAAAGTATATATACAGTGATGCGAGACGAATGGGAAGATACATAACAAAGTGGCATTTGAAATTTCAGTATTTTTTCATTATGCGCCTGCCATGCATTTTGGTATGTATGAGCATAATGGAAAAATACAGTACATATGTTTGTGCATAACAAAAAAGTATCATATGTGTGTGAGCCATCTGTAAACTATTCTTATAGCTAAAAATTACAATTAAATGTGTAGGAGGCCCATAATGGAAAAGTACTGAGCTTTCATATATGATAGGTAAAATTAAAATAGTACACATTTCTGAGTTTATATATACACTGAAGAGCTAAAACATATAGCTACCTACTCAATAATATGTTGCATAACCACCTTTGGCCTGCAAATCATCTGCAGCTTGCCTTGGATGCAGGAGATACCAAATGGTTGTACCAAATGTCTAAGCAGCAGTCACGCAAAACCGAAATATTCCGTCATGGTGGTGTTTAAGCTCTGAGCTGATGCCTCATGACATCCCAAGTGTGCTCTACTGGGTTAAGATCCAGGGAGTTAGTGGCCAGAACATTAATTGGAATTCATGCTTATGCTCCTCAAACCACTCTAACACTGTTCGAGCCTTGTGACATGGAGCTTCATCCTGCTGGAAGATTTTATGTCCAGCTGGGAAGATGGACACCATGTAAGGGTGAAACTGATCCACAATTATGTTCAGATAGTCCACAGCTTTCATGATCTACCACAGCTAAGGGTCCCAGAACTGCCCATGAGAATATCCCCCAAAGCATAATACCACCACCAGCAGCTTGTGTATGACTTGCTGTACAGGGAAGAGCAAGCTTTTGCAGTTTTTCATGAAAAATAATTCCATTAACTTTTGCTTTATGTTTCAATCAGTGTTATGAATATAATGTAAATAGTTGAACCATTCTAAGCTTTGAGGATTAAGCTGATGCTTATAGTCTTCTAAACATCAAGAAAATTTTCATAAAATATGACAAAATTTTGACCTTCTTTGACAAAATATTCTGTTAAATGAAATCTGCATCCTACCCTCTGGCATTTACAGAAATTTGAAGCAAACTATAATTAAATTTTTGTTGGAACAACTCAGGAACTCTTAATTTTTTAGCAGTGAAAAAGTTTAGATCTCCCATTTAGTATTATATGACAAATAGACATATTTAAGTTATTTAACACCATTCCACAAAAGCCTTTTCCCAGCTTATTATTTCTACAACTGTTTGTTGGTCATAGACTTATGCTTCCAGAAGTATTTTAAATGATGCAACTATTCATGACTTTTAAATTTTAAGAAATCTCTTTTATAAAAATTATGAAATATAACTTTTTATATGTTCCTTCAGTCCCTATGCTCAAGGAAATTTTTTCTTGTTATAAAAAATATGAAAAGTTTGATGTGATCATGTATTTCTCAGTATATTAATTTCTTTTTAATTATCATTTCAGCCTTATGAAAAACAGTTACCTTCAATCATTTTTTAGATACATGTTCATAGCAAGTTTCATTATTTGGTTTATCTTGGTATTGTATACATATAATGTGTTTTCTGTATTTTGTTATGGGACTGGCCCGTTATCGGCCGAACAAGTTTTGAAGCTGAGATGGAAAGACACTTGGGATTTTATAATCCACATTCAATGATAGTGATATATTTTTTTTTAGTTTGGAGAGTAATTAAATGTTTTAAAATTGGAAGGATCTATATCTATTTAATACTTTGGCAAGTAGTTTTAATATGGAATTCTTTATAGCAATATTTTCCAACTTTTTAATTCATTTGAAAGATGGAAAATGTAGTCTTTTCAACAACTTGATCAAAGTACAAAATTTGATGGGGGGACCTTCATATAAAATATGTAAAATAATAATTGTATGCGAGTTTTTCATGTCCAAAATATATGAAATATTTTTTTTTAATATTTATGTTAATGGTAACATGTCCCAAGGATTTAAAATATAATTTTGAAATTTAAACCTTATACTAATTTTATATTTCTATGTGTTAAATTTAAAATAATTCAAGTACTTTATTTCTGGAGATATTTACATTAACTGAATTATTGGTGATCAAATTTGATTACTATTTTTTTTTTTTTTTTTTTTTTTTTTTTGTGTAAAAGTACTAGAGTATTAAATTTGACTTCAAAATGCAATTCATAAAATTACTGTATGATTTTTTTTTCAGTGGAGCATTTGAATTTATTTTTGCAAAATATTTGTATAAGATGCTGACAAACTGAATAAGAGTCAGTTTAGAAAAGTGCGTAAAACCCAAATGAATGTGAATAGGAAATAACTTACAAAACTGTTTAGTTTCTTTCTCATTGTTTAAATCAAAATTTTTTGCTAATATAAATTAGTAATAATTAAAAAATTACAGCTTTAAGTTAAAATTTGTAATTTAAAAGTAAATATTTGTTTTTAAATTACAACTTTAATCTTAATTATAAACTTAGTAATTTTTTAATTGTTGCTGTATTTTTCATAATATTTTAAAATTCATTCAGTATTCTTGCATTTCTAATATAAACTGTGACTGTGTTTTTTGTTGCTGAAATGGGTTGCTGGAATACACTGCTATATGGAATTCATTTGGATAGTTAGTTATATTAACATTTGCAGTTTTAACATATATTTGTAATTTATAATATTTAATTCCGCTTCTGTTTTGGAATGCACATTTTTATTTCTGAGTTATAAAGTATCTTTTTTTTACAATTTTTATTAAAGATATTATAATTTTACTTTTTTATATATCTGTGTATGTTAAAAATACAAATTATTTTTTAGTTCAATTAATTTAATTAGAAAATTTTCTTATTTGAAAAAAAAAAAAAAAAAAAAAAAAAAAATGTGGATATTTGAAGGAGTATAATAATCTTATCTAGTGTATTGGTTTGACTATAATTTCTGTTTTTTTAAATACCTGTAAAAAAACTTTTTTTTCTTTTTTATATGTGCTGCCTAATATTTTAAAAACATTTAGATAATTTATCCATTAGCATATTTGCGAAATTTTAGCTCAGAATGTAATATTTAGACCATTTAATTGCTTTTCTTGTACAGTGTTTAACATATCGAGTTTGTGTACTTTAGGATATCTTATAATCAGACCAATTCATTATTACTGTAGACCGAGATAAACAATATAAATACATTCAACTAACAGAGGAAGTTAAACCAAGGTAGAAATTTGAAGGTTAAAAAGCAGTTTTTAAAATTTATTTTTTTTATATTTTTTATTTTACCATCCTTTCCAAATTTTAAACATAAAATTTTAAAAAATAAATGTGATTTAAAAAAATATCTTTTGAAACTACAGTCAAGTAAAGTAAAATACAGTCAAAAGTCGTTAATCCGGACTCATCGGGACTTCGGCGATTCCGGATTATAGATCATCAGTTTAAATCTGGTAAGATGGCATGCAGAAATTATAAAATTAAAAATATGAAACCGTAATTTATGAAATAAAGAACAATTATGATCTAAAGGGTATCAAAATTTACAAAAAAAAAAGCTTAATATTTATTTGTTTACTTTATTAAACATTTCTTTCAATGTAATTTGTTTATGTTGCTTCGTTTTTTATGTGATAATACTTTCTCTTTAATTCTATAAACAGACACAATTTCTTGTTCAGTTACAAAGGTCCGCTGTTCAAGTCCTATAATTGCTGTGTCGAGAAATACCGACTAATTTGTCAATCGAAATTTTTTTCGTTTTCAATAACCTCTGTGTCACTTTCTTCCTATCGGAAGCGAATTATAATGACGAGGAATTTGATTTAAATCATATCAAAGACGGAGTACATCGAGATGAAATACTACATTTAGTAAGGAATTATAAGCCAAAAAATAAAAACATCTGCCCTGAAGATAAGGATAGTGCTGACAGATCAACTTCCAATTCATTGCGCTGCACCCCCCCCCCGCCGAGCAGCAATGAAATTGATAAACAATTTTTGAGCATTCGAGAACATACTTTCGCTTTGTAGATCCTTTACATATTAGTAAATATATATCGGAAATTCTATTTGACATAATCGAAAGTTCAAGCTTACTTTTATAAAATTGCTCTAACAGTCTGCAAAAAATAATAAGCCGGATCCAATTCGAAGATTAAGGAACAACGCAATCTGCAACATTAACTGAATTAGATAATTTTAGCTTAGCTTATACCGTCCGTTATACATTAAACGCGCATGCGTAAACGTATTATGCGCACACGCATATTCGCAGCCATAAAGGTCTTAAGCGCACGTGTAAACGCCTATGTGCATGCGTCAACGCGACGCATGCGCAGAAAGTTTATAGTTTTGAGGTCCGGATTATGGGTGTCCGAATTAACGACTTTTGACTGTTATAAATTAAAAAATAATATGAGTTGTTATATAGCTGACACATTGACTGCCATGGGGGTCACCGGTGACCTTGACTTGGTTACAGCGCCGGGGATGCCACCCGTGACTGGAGACACGACCATTACTAAAATACATAATTAGAGTAAATATCAATACTGGTAAATTTTTAAATAGTACCATTGTTACTGTAATGGTTTGAAGAATAATAAATTGTAAAAATTTAAATTATAAAGCTCAATAATAGTCTACAGCGCCTTGAGGGTGGCCTATGACCCCCCCCCCACCATGAAAAATGCATTAAGCACGATCATATAACACATTATCTTCTGTAGATAATATTTCAACATAATACATAATATACATCAGATAATAAAAATTTCGTTGCCGTCATGGGCAAACCACATCAATTGCGCATGGCAGTCAACGTGTTAAATTCCTTGTTGATAGTGTATATTCTGTTTAATAAAATGCAATGAAATTTAAAATGCTAATGATTAAAAGATGGCATTTTATGTTTGCAGCATTTAAAAAAAGCTTGTAAGCTGGAAGTTTGTTTCTTATCATTACTGTTGTAGTTAAATTTCTCAAAAAAACTTTAAACATGTGTAATTGTAAATGTGCTCTAGGGAAGGTTATGCTTCTTTTGCTTTAAAATGTACTGCTATATTATAAGTATTTTAAACACTGAAGTCAGAGGTATCACAATAGAGATATCCTCAGTGTCTTCATTTTATGCCATAAAGAAA